GCGAACCGAACTAAGTGAAAAATAATTTAAAAAATTTTTCACTTATGTTTTTTCCAAATATGACTTCTCAGAAATTACAGACGCTGGAATTCATTTTTTAATAGCGGGAAGGAATATTAATCAGAGAAATCCTTAAAATATCCAACTTTTTATTGCTCGATGAATTTTGCGGTCCTCGCCGAGTCGAGTTTTGTATATTTCACTTCTTCGCGAGGCCCGTGAAAATTTTCAAGCGGCAACATTTACCGGGACGTTTCATTTCTGCGCGATGCCCGGTGGAAATTAAATCGGCCTCGCTTTAAAGTGGCAATTCCGCGTCGGGCAGGAGGCCAGCGCGGGAAAACTGGAATACACGTTTCCAAGGCTCATCTCGTTTAATTTGCAGGATTTACAATCGTTCACGTCCCTCGAAAGTATCTCCGGAACCGTCGGCTGAATCGTAATCGTAAATCGCGACCGTTTAACCACATTGCAAAACGGGTAGCGTGAAAGAAACATTGAAAATTACATTCAACGGAGATATGGTGAAAAATCATTATTACCTTGGAAAAATATATTAATCTTGTTAATTAGAAGTACCGTAATGAAGCATTATACACTCTGCAATAACCTTCCGAGTTAATCTCATATTTTTAATAACCTAGTTATTTGGTATAACGAAGCGGAATCAATGAATTTACAGGATTACATGATCCTAGAAAGTAGAAAGATTGAAAAATTTGGAAAATAGTAATTTTCTGCATACCTCTAGGCCAGGGGTCGGCAAACTGCGGCCCGCCATCAATCTTTTTATGGCCCGCGAGTTATGTAAAGAATTCCATATTTCTCATTAATTACATACATTGTAATCTCAATTTTCTCTCTTGGCCCACAAAGCCAAAAAATATTTAGTATCTGGCCCTCCAGAAAATAAAGTTTGCCGACCCCTGCTCTAGGGAATTCGAAAATATTGGCAGTGTATCTTTTTTGGGAGACGAAATCACCTTCCAAAGTTGGAGGTTGGAAAGATATCAATCAATATAACTCGAAACAGGATCGAGATAGAGAAAAAATGAATAGCAAACTAATCAATCAAACTCCTTAAGAAGTCCAATGAAACGAAGTATTAATTCTTTCTCACTTTATAGCAATTTTCGAAAATTTTGAAAAATGTGTATTTACGAGATTCATTTGGTGGCCAATACTGATGAATTTTCGAATATCATATCGAAAATATTTATTAGAATATAAAAAGATTAAGTGGAAACAGTCTGTAAATGGTCAGATACGTCTCCGTTGAACTCCTCAAGTATGAGTTACTTTTCAGAATTCTTTCGAGTAAACATTGCTCGTATTAACTAAATCTTGCAAACTATATAAAAATCTTTTAGAAATTTTCATTTAATCAATTACTAGACTGCGGACGTTTATACACTTAAAATGATTGAAATATGGAAAGAAAATGTGTGAAATATGCAAGAATGTGGGATATGTATAATAACAAGTATATTGAAAATATGCCACAATAAGTGAACCTGCATGATTTAAACATTCCAATTGTAATTTAAATAATAATAGCATATAAGCATTTGATGACATTTATCAATTAAAATGAATTTATAAGCGGAAAGTATATGAAATATGCAATGTACATTTGCATATGTTTAAGAAAAGGAATGCAAAATATATGAAATATGAAAAATCTGCAAAGTATATCAAACACAAAATAAACTTCTATCCAGATCTTACTTCATTACCAATTTCCCATAAAAAGACATGCATTCGCGTAAACATCCGGCAGTCCATCAATTACTATACTTCACTATTCCTACAATAGCGAGTTCTACAAACTCAATCGTAGAAACATCGCCTTGGAAGTTTCTTTCTCCGCATAATAAGGAAGTTTAACGAGGAAACAATCGCGTCTACGCCAATTATGCAGAGGAACGGTATACTCGGTGGGTGGTCGCAATCAAAAGTTTTTAAGCGAAATCGTGTCGGGCGATTTTCACGAGTGGATTTCGCGCCGACGATCCTCAACTCAATTCGAACTAGAGAGGAGGGAATTCTCGATAGATTAGAGAGTGAAAAAGTAATTTTCAAGCTGGCACGGCCTGTCGCTCCCTGTTCAACATTTTATTGCTGATTTGCAAGCTCAATCCGAAACTGAGAAACCGATTACTACCATTCTAATCAGACATCTCGCGAAAGTCTCTCTCTCTTTAAAACGGAACGAAAAGACCTGAGAGGAATCAACCGACTAATTTCTATCCTCGTTAGTCTAAATTCCGTGAAGCCTTTATCCTTCGAATTTGCAGAAATTTTGTTATAGACTTTTGTGGAAATTTTCAGCCCAGAAAATGGATTATTCCTCGAAACTGGGATACATTTTGAACGAAATATTAACATAATTTTGCTACTAATTTCTTTAATTTGTAATGTTCTGAATTTGGTTTTGGAAATTAAATTTTTTGGAAATAAAACTTTCTGGACAATGTTATTAGTAATCAATGATCCACTAATGAACCGATCAGTATGAATATTAATATTTGAACAATCGTCTTTTTCCTTCCTATTTTCTGAAGTATTCCTCGCGAAATGTACACGTGAATACAAACTTTACAAATTTATATAGCAAATTTGACCAATTTTTGAAGCAACTTATTTGACAATTCAGAGGAACGAGATCGAACAAATTCTCAATTATGTTGTGTCTTTACGTAGGTCAGCGTTAGATACAATTAAACGCCAGAATGAGGACCAGGATAGGCTTACTGACATCCAGCGTGGCTTTTCTCTACGTGTTGGGAATTGTTGGGAAACCAACTGTAGCCATGGAAGAATCGCCTTCATCATCGATGAATCTTCAACACTACAATACCATGATGAATTCGATGGGATTCGATGATCCCTTGCCTGAGAAGAGGGCGTATACTTATGTCTCCGAATACAAGAGGTTACCAGTGTACAACTTCGGTATTGGAAAGCGTTGGATCGACAGCAACGATGACAAAGTGAGTATTCATTCAAATAATAAAAATATTAGAATTTTTCCAAGCATTTATACTCTTAATTTTCACCTGTTCCAAACATCTAACTATAAGAAGAGTACCATCTTAAAATGATTCAATGTCCGTCGATAACTCAATCGACAAAAGGCTAACAAATCTCGAACTTTCCTCAAAAAAAGTATCAACCTCCGAAATCACCCAGAAATTCCCAATTTCCTCTCGCCAATACCCTCGAAATCCTCCCAAGTATCTACTTTGATATTCTAATCGAAGCTTCCGAACCTCTCGGACAACAAGGAGAAAGCCTCCAACCTATTCACGAGCCAAAAATCCACACCCTCCGGTGTTAAAATAACTTTCATATCCCACGATACCACCCCTTGGTGCCGGTAAAGCCTTCAAAAGGAAATCTGCTATCGTTACAGAGGGGACGTCCGTACTCGTTCGGCCTTGGAAAACGCGTGCGACAGTACAGTTTCGGGCTCGGGAAACGTAACGACAACTCTGATTATCCGGTCAGACTGAATCTGGACTATCTTCCCGTCGACAATCTCGCCTTCCATTCTCAGGAGAGTTTGGACAACGTACTGGAGGAGAAACGCGGCAGACAACCGTACAGCTTCGGTTTGGGCAAAAGGGCGGTACACTTGAACGCTGGACAACAGATGGGATCAGGGAAGAGACCGAACGATCTTCTCAGCCAGAGATACCATTTCGGTCTCGGCAAGAGGATGTCTGACGACGAGGAGGACGCGTTGCAGTAGGGCCTCGCCGTGCCTTTCCACGACACTGTAGCTCCACTTCGATGTCACAGAGTTTTATTGTCAGACGAAGTATATCGATAATGCAACAATAAAGACACGTTTTGAAGTTTCAACGTCACCTAACGAATTCTGCATCTCTTCTTACTTTTTTTCTATTCTCTTCTTTTCCGATTCAACAATCACGATTACGCACCTGGTTTCTTTTTATTTCTTTCGTTGATTGGTTTCGTTGGTGTTTGGTTATCAACAAAGAGAATCAATGAAGAAATGTGTAATGTTGATGATGGGTTTTCCTTGCTCTCTTCTTTCCCGATGGAAGAATGATTGACAGTTGACTTCTTTCTATTTTTCGTTCATTCTTTTCATTGGTGTTTGGTTATCAACAAAGGGAATCAATGAAGAAATGTGTAATGCTGGTGATGGGTTTCTTTTTACTCTCTTCTTTCCCAATGGAAGAACGATTGATTTCATTTTATGTTTATTTCTTCGTTGATTTCTGTTATCTATGAAAGAATGTTGGTGATGGGTTTTCTATTGCTTCTCTTTTCTTTCGTTTGTATCATAGTTGCAGAGCTGGGTAAATCGACGAAATGTGTTTGGAATGTGAGATGTTGATGCTTACGGTGTTTGTACAGGAATGTGTACTTTATGAGAATTGTGTAAATGTTGATCTGGAAATGCTTTATTAAAAAGTCTCTCTGAAATTTCAAGGGATTTTCACTGATAGATACCTCGTAGATTTTTCGTGATACTTGTTTCCGCCGTGACTTTTTAGCGAAGCATTTTTCAACTTATGATTGTGTGCAGTTTTTCATTCGTTGTTTCATCTGTAGGATGTATCAATAGGAAACAGATAGAGCGTTTAATTTACTTGATAATCCTCTAGAGCTTCGTAGAGGTTCCTAGGAAAGCAGAATCTTAATGTGGAAAATTAAGTAAATCGGTATCGTTGTCCCGTGTTTCCACGATTATCGCAAAACGAAAGACTGAGATTGCTTCGTCGTCGAAACGAGTGTACCCAGCTCTGTGCCCTGTCGTTGTCCGATTCGCAAATTGTACATTTCAATAAACCTATCGTTTATACTGAAAATAATGCCAGAGAGAGAAACGTTTGATTCGTCGAATTATATTGACCCAGGAGAATTGTTGTGTTACCATTTCACATGGGAACCCGATTGTTATCCGAAGAATAAAAAGAGAACAGATGATTGTACTTATTTTTCTAGCGTTAATTTTAGACAAGCCTCGATGAAATTTCTGTTCAACTGTTTATCGAATAAATGTTCAAGAGAAAAAAAAGGAAAAAAATTCCCAAGGATTAATTATTCAGACCTCAGTATTTTTATAAATTAATTTTTTCACTAAACAGAAATATCAAAATATTCCACCGAACAGAAATATACAAATATTTTTATATATCAATCTTTTCATCGTTTAAAATGAAACACCGACGAAAGCCGAACAGTCGTGATAAATAAGCCGTGTCTGTAGCAGCACGCCGTGAATCTGACACGCCCCCTCTCGATTTCGATTATTCGACTCAGTTTCCGATCGTTTTCACCGACAACCATTCGTTTCTGTTCGCCTAAAGTACTCTTTAATCATCTGAGAGTAACATCAAACCGTCTATTGTTCGTAAACAAGAATGAATTGTGACATACTCCGTGTTAATCTGTGTCGTGGAAAAATATAGAATTACATATTACGTTCAAAGAAATTATCCAGTGTCGCGAAGAATATTAAATTTGATGGAAAATGTCGAAGATATGGATAATTTTCGCGTTAACAATGAAAGTGTCCTTTTGCGTGGAGAAATTTTGGCTTCCAAATTTGGAGTGGGAAAGGGTTGAAAACTGGGTGGAAAAACGATTACCTGAAATGGATACACGCGTGATTTTTCCAATTCAAATGAGACACGCCGCGGGGATGTCGCAATCTTTTAATCTGAGATTGTCCGGGATCGATCTAGCTAGATCTGGGTCCTTGATTCTGCCGAGAAATGGAAATTTGCAGGTATGTATTTTATATCGATTAATAATTATTGAAGAAGAAAAATGTCTCGTTTGAATAATTTGAAGATTATCGATAAAAATTCTTTCCCCTATTGGTTTGTTATGTTAAGGAATATTTCTTCAGTAAGTGGATAATTGGATATAAAAAATTCAAGTTTATTTCATTTTTCTCCGTGAGAATTCAATTTCCGAGAGATAGGGAATATTAACGTATCAGTGGGATTTGCAACACGCGACAGATTAGCTTGAAGATTGTATTAAACATTCCTCGTTCGATCTCTAATTGCCTGCGAAACAGAATCAAGAACTAGCACATAAATCTATGAGCACTGCTGCTCTTGAAAGGAAGAAAAATGGAACAATACTTTATCAACGTACTCGATAAATTTGGTGCAATTGAAAATTGAATTAATTCGAATTAAATGTAAAATAAGAGAACAAATTCTGACAATCTCTGTATTTAATTAAAAATATTTTGATATTGTTTTATTTCTCGAAAAATTGTTTTTTACGATAGTTGAGCGAAGCGGGAAAATCAACGAGGAAAACAAGCGAATGGTTGAGATCAGGTCACTTGTTTTGGGCGGATCCACAGAACTGGAATGGCAGTTCAATAGCTGCACCTCATCTCGAGCAAGTTCCATGTCGTCAAGATGATATAGTGCTACCAGAAAAAAAGCGAACGTTTAGTGTCTTTCTGCCAATGAAGTACATCGAGGTGAAATCGATCAGGACCTCCGGCGAGAAGCATCCCTTGGCCGCGTGGCAATGGGCAGATTTGGAAAATCGAAGGGAATTTGCCAAAGGAATATTTACTGTGAAGTGCGTCAAATTCGAGTTTTCAAATATTCAAATTTTCGAAATTAAAAATTTTCAAACTGTCAAATCTCCGAAATCTCAAATTTTCCACCTTTCAACCATTCAAATTTGTAAATATTCAAATATTCAAATTACCGAAATTCAAAATTTTTTAATTTTCAAATATCCGAAATCTCAAACTTTCCACCTTTCAACCATTCAAATTTTCAAATATTCTAATACACTTTTTTTTCTAATACCCAAATTTCCAAAATTAAAAATTTTCAAACTTTCAAATTTCTAAATATTCAAATATTGAAATTTTCGAAATTTTTAATCTTCAACCTTTCGACCTCTCAAATTTTTAAATTGCAAATTTTGTCGGTTCTTCAATTTCACATTTCTAATCGAAAACTTCTACTACTCTACTACTCAAGGGTAATCTTCCAACAATGAAATTCTCCAGGTACGCAGACTACAGTTGCGAGAAGTGTTCCTGCCAGGACGATCCCAATGGTTACTATCTCGAGGAAATTTGCGCCATTCAGAGGCCAAAGTGTGGATTTATACCTTGCGAATATCCTTTATGGGTTGGTCCAATCAACAATTAAACCCTCTAAATAACAATTCCCCTGTTATCAATCTCACCCAGTAAAATTTCTCTCCAAAAACAATACTAAAGATTTCCTATATTAAACCTGAACATCAAACCTTTTCATCTATGTAAATTTCTTTAAAAAAAAAAAAATCTACCTTCCTAATATATTTTTTTAAACACAGGTAGAAGGCCATTGCTGTCATTATTGCGGTGCTCGATTGTCTTTGACAAATAAAGCATCTTTATCGATAGTTCGAGCTGCAGCAGACGAAACTTTGGAGGGATACGGAAAAAGATTTGCTTGGCACGTCAGACGTACTTGGAGCGGTGCAGCAGAGGTCCTAATAAAGGAAAAGGGCGCCTATTCAGGAATAGACATGCTGAAAATTGTGGACGATTTGAAAAGGGCTTTGACAAGTAAGTTTCCTCTCGTTTTTCTATCCACTTTTTCCATTGTAGCAGTCTTTTCCTCGGAGACGTTTCGCGTAGTTCAGGAATTCGCACGAATAACAGTAAAGTATGAAAGAAAATAGACGAATATGTATTTAGATTAACTACGTATACAAAAAACCGAAACATAAAGCGCACGTAATCTGTACCACGATCGACATAAAGGTCCTAAGGGCCGACACGTGGTTCATTTCGCGAACGTTTCCACTCTACTGTCGTTCTTTCTTCCCCCTGATCGGCGTTTGTCGCCTTCGACGAAAATCGTCAGGCATTCGTTTTTATCGTTTTCGCGAGTCTCTGTCCTCGTCGATTATCGACTGTACCATAAATAAATCGTACTAGATACAATATATAAATTTCTAATTCTAATATAACAAACAAATTTAAATTTAAATTAATCAACAAATCAATGAATCTCCTATCTTAACACGTTCGTCTGTGACGGGGCCCCCACGGAAGCATACCCGTCACCCAGATCTGGGTGACGTTCTTCTTCGTCAAGTTAAATAGGATTTCACAAGTAATTTATAAAAATCCATGTAACACAAGAATTTAATGGAATAACACACTATATTATACTATACATTAATTTATATTTAAAATAAAATACAACATTATACTACGTAGCATGATATTCGTTAAAACAGTTCGAACACATTTCTGGTGATTTTGGACAATTGGGACAATATGTTGTCGCCTTTTTTACATTTTTTCTCGCTTCCTGGCGTTCGAGAATTTGTCTCTTCTTCTGGTAACACAGAACGCAAATTCCAGCTAATCGCTCTGTTTACGTTCTTGCGCTCCGACTATCGGATTTGGGCCCCGCGAGAAACTCGACCGATTCACGCTGGGCGACGAACGTGTTAAAAGAAACATGTTTTCCCACATTGCCGGTAGCTATTGAACTGTTCGTTTCATTTGTCCAGTAACTTATTAAATTACCAAGATAAACAATCTCACATCGAAATCGTTTTCACGGCTTCGACGAACATTCACCGTTCTCTCGGCGAGTCAAAGTAATAACACAAGTTATTGTACTTTCCAATAAACGTGGAACAATCAACTTCGCTGGCTTCAGCATCGACGCAGACGATTCCCTTTCAATGCACCTTCGCAAGAGATTCGAAGTTATTAGTTTTTGTTTCGTCCGAAGAAAGAACTTCCTTTCGTCGTTGTTTCCTTTGTAATTTCAAGCGCGAACGTTTCTCGCGTATTTGAAATCAGCTGAATTAGTAACCGTGCCTAAAAATTTTGCGAATGCCTCGTAAAGAGTATTTACCGATCTCCGTGGAAAATTGAGCGAGGTATTTTCAAATAAAAAATAACAAAAATGATATTTAGGGGGTAGAAATTGTAACCTTACGATTTACCGCGTAATTTTTATTAAAATTGAAAATTCTTGATCTCTGCGAAGGTATGAAGATCGAAGTTCTGTCGGCAGACACTACAGGAGCAGCTTTGGAAGACAGTCGACTTACCGTCACACTTGTTCCACTCTTTGTCACACCAATGGTCATCCTTATGCTCCTCTTCCTTAGCTGCTTCTACTTTGGCTACTCTCACAGGCAGTAAGTACACGTAATTAAGTGACGATTAGCGCGAGAACCTTAATACTTCTCTTCCACTTGCATTCTTCTAATGCAACATTTCGGTTCGTAGAACTTTGATCAATTTTTATGAAGTCTCCCGCAAGGATGATTCTAAGTTAAATCAAAAATTACTGTACATGTTACTGACTAAATCATAACAGCAAAATTTTCACGAACCACTGTACGCGTTGCTGCAACACATTTTTCGTTATCAATTCCTTATCTGTAAAAAATAATACGAAGTACTCCGAACAAGCTGTTGGAATCCGGGGAGGAAAGTTGATATCGATTATACAGGATGTCCCGTAAAGAGTGTAACACCCGGAAATAAATACGAAGTACTCCGAACAAGCTGTTGGAATCCGGGGAGGAAAGTTGATATCGATTATACAGGGTGTCCCTTAAAGAGTGTAACACCCGGAAATAGGGGGTTGCTGGGGTGACTCTGAACAACTTTTTCCTTTACCAAAATGTTGGTTGAAGCTTCGTTTTTGAATTATTAACGAAAAACACCGGCCAATCAGAGCACGCGCTCAGGGACGAACGAACAGAGAGTCACCCGCGCGCGATCCTGAACAAACGTACGCGTGAAGCGTAAGCGTTCGCCCATCCCTGAGCAGGGGTACTTTACTTTTTATTGGATAAAAGGTAATCAACAAAATCCCACAATTCTGAGCTCGTGTGTCCTTTTTTTGTCGTTAACGCGACTATAAATAACAGAATTAGGACCTATTGACACAGGACTTATTGAATTACATACTTACATTATATAGTAAATTGCGAGTCCATCTACCATTTTTTCTTTTCTTGCTGTCGATGCGATAATTATACAGGGTGTCCCAAACTTAAACGGACAAACTGCGTGGGCTTAATTTGCAGGCAGAAAGGAGAAAAATATGTAATATAAAGTTTGTCAATAAAAGCTTTGTCACAGAGCTACAAGCAAATATTGTATGCACGAAATAGGTAACAATTCATTTTCCATTACAGCACACAGAAGTTGATTGTATTATTGTGTCAGTCAAACTTCTGTGTGCTGTAATTAAAATGCGTCGCTACCTATTTCATGCATACAATATTTGTTTACAACTCTGTAACAAAGCGTTCATTGACAAACTTCGTACATTCTCTTCTTCGTTATGCCTGCAGATTAAGCCCTCACAATTTGTCCGTTCAAGTTCGGGACACTCTGCATAGGAGATTGTGAGTTCGTGCACCCTTTTCTTTGTACTATAAACAACTACTATCGTAACGAGTGCAAATAGCGGAAGAAAAGGACGAAAAAAGGATGGGAAAAAGCAGAGGTTAATAATTCGTGAAAAGGGAAATAGCTGAGCAACGCGTGTTTTCGCTCGACGATTACGAGCATTTGGCCGGAAAAACAACGATGAAGCTTTCCATAAGCTCTTTCCGTTTGACCCTTATATTCGACCGACACGTGGGTGTCGATGACGAGTGGAGAAAAAGGAGAAAAAGAGGAGAGAACGATGGAAAAAGTAATTACACGGAATATGAAACACGAAGCGCAGTTTGCAAGTGGCTGCACTCCCTCCCCCTCAGGCGAACCGGAAGTCTGTGAAATTAACTTCCCTCACAGGATGCTTCTGGACGAGCACCGGCGAAATATGCTGTCCCGAAGCGTTTCTGAGTATATAAATTTTCAGTCGCGATTTTTTGATTCTTCCTGTAATTTCATTATGGTTACAAATTTTTTCGTTTAGCTTCTTTGATAAGCGATTTTATGGAAATTTAGAAAATTCGTATCTATTGCTTTCTGCACTGTTTTCTTTGTAATTGTCGCCTTGAGGAATTATAAATGCAAGTCAAACTTTGGCTCAAGTGTAAAGGAACGGGGGATTTTCAACTTTGAACTGATTTCTTTTTTTATTCTATAGAGTTCAACAAGTGATTTTATCGAAAAGTAGAAAATATTGATTTATCGAGATTTGTGAAATACTTTTTTTTAGTAATTATTGTCCTGAGGAATTATAAAAGCAAGTCAATCTTTTGTGTGTAAGTGTAAAGGAATGAGGGATTTTCAACTTCGAACTCATTCTTTTATCAGTCGTTTAAAATTTGTCCTGATCTATAATAACTAAAAATGACGACGAATTCTACAAATTCCATATTATATTGTTAAGTAAAAATTGACCGGAATAGAAGTGAGAAGAAAAACGAATATTTGATCACGAAGCTTGGAAATGTTTAAATAGTCTTCAGTCTAGGAGTTCAATTTAACTTTCCGCTTAACCCTTTCAACTTGGCCTTCCAAGTTAGCTTGTACGCGTTAATCTAAACGTAAAAGGTCGTCGCGAAATCTCGACAAGTCTCCGAAATTCGTCGTCATTTCGAATAATGTGACCTGCTAGGAATGTGCACAAGCTGCTTCGAATTCCAGTAGCCGAACGCGTTGTTTACGCACAGGTAAACCGAACTGCATATTGGAGAAGCTACAACTTCGAAAGTTCCCTTTGCACATTGGTCAGTTCGCTGGAAATCGAGATAACAGTAATGCAAAGAGAAACTTGACACCTAATTGACCGTTTAACGATGTAAAGTGCCGTTGAAATGGAGAAAAGCAAATTTCTTTGAAGCGGAGAACGGCGAAATTAAACGAAGATCGATAAAGGGAGAATTGTAAATCGGGAAAATAATTAACGACGAGGGAGAAGAAAGGAAAGTTGAAGAGAAAGAAAGATAGGATGGAAAGTGAGTCAATTTGCGAAATAATGGGTGGCAAGAGTTTAATTAACTCGACCTGGCCAATCGAGTTGAACACTGGATTGTTTTTTTTTGCGAATCTGTGAAATGATAGTAAAAATCGTGGAAAATTTCTATTTTTAGAGAAAAATGAAGTGAAATTCAATCTTCGCGGGTTATATTTCGTATTTTTCATATTGACGATGCTTCTAACCCTTTTTGTCTTATTTGTGATAAAAAGTAATGTACCCTTTGAGTAGAAAAATGAGAAATGTAAAATTGCAAAATATTGCAAATTTGATGGCCTCTTTGAACAGTGTAATTTCGCAAATTTCAATATTTTGTCTTACTTATGATAAGAAATAGTGTACCCTTTCGGTAGATAAAATTAGAAATATTAAAATTGCGAATTTGACTGTCCATCCTTGAACAGTATAATTTTGCAAATTTCACTTGATATTTTTCAGTGTGCTGTCAGGCTGCAGAGAAGTTTTCTCGTCGATCAGGGACGGAATTCGCCCGGACAAATCTCAGCCAGGCAAACCATTCAGTTTCGCTCGTTTCGAAAACCTCTCAGAAGGCAACGTCCAAATTGCAAATGTGGTCGTTGAAAGTGAAACAAAAGCGGAAGGGAGTAAAATAGAAGTTGAGGATCCTTTTTCAGGTGGAAGATTCGAAAATCCTTTGTACAGAACGAAACGAAGGCGAAACGAGGAGAGCGAGGTCTTGAACATGGAAGCTCCATTGAGCTTGACAACTCTCAGGGATAAAGTGGAGGATGAAATCGTGGAAGTGGACTTGGATATCAATGAGTAAAGTAAAGAAAATTATAAAATTTGACGTACGATATTTCTGAAATTATGGTAATCAATTTCGAATCATTTTTCAATTTAAATGGAAACTGTAATTGTCGAAAATTTGGAGGAAAAATTGAATGAAAATATGTAGATACGAAATTTTTAAATGTTCAAAGAATTTTCGATTTCTTTCGGTACATTCTATTAATTTGTTAAAGCTTAAACTAATAAATAAAAAGAAGTTTAGCAAAATTTCACGTAAAATTCGAAAGACTAAGAGCCTCGGTAACTCTTTAACAGGATCGTCGCTTGATTAAAACCTGAATCGACGTCGATTCGATACTGCAATCTTGCCAGATCGAGCTGGGAAATTTGATGGAACAGTTAGCCTGTAAAATTGCGCAAACTTCGAAAATTCAACTAAGAATTTGTAATATTTTTAAGAAAATTTAGCAGGTTTCAAACAGACGCGTTCGTAATTAACTCTGTTTTAATCCTAAGGCTCTAAAAGCACTGTACATTGATAAAAATCTATCGATTATCTACTGAAGCCTAACAGAAGAGCAAAACCGATAAGATAGCAATAATTGTGAGGTATTACATCACAGTGTACCACTCTATGTTAGAAAATTAATTAACAACTGAAGGTTGTTGGAGATAAGTTCATACGTGCTATTTAATTATCTTTTGACAGTCTTTTATAATTAACTTACCTTATTACACATTTCAAATGTCTAGAAGCTCACACGTTCTATTTTCAAGTGGTACGTGAAATTAAATTAAAATCAAAAATTAAACAGTTTTCATATTTACGACACACAAGAGTATATTTTACCATAAAAATTCGTATTTTCACGCATTACGCTTTCTTCTTTCTTCAATATATATTAACAATTTTGCAACACCCAAGATTCAGTTTTAAAATTTCGAAAAACTTACCCTATAAAAATATTATGTATCTGAAGCTACCTGTACTAAAAATATAATTGCTTTCTTCGAAAATGTATCAATTTATATTCATAGACCTTAAACAAAATTACAAAAAATTTCACCCTACCTCATCTCTAAAACGAAAACCTTTGAACCGTTTCTAAAATACCTGTAGCACTCGTAAAAATTGTGAACAAACTCCCCTCGTTCTCTCCTTGAAACTCAAACTTGTTCGTTTCGAGAAATTAATGAACGTTACTTTCAAAAATCTGTCTCGCAGAATGAACCCTTTGCAGTCGAATGGCGACTAAGAAGCAACATTGAACAATTATCATTTGGTGAACGATTAATCAAGGCCCTCTTAGAGCTGTTATTTTCCCGATACAGCAGATCTATGGGTCTCCATATATTAGAGATCTAAGCAGTGAAATACATAGTGTGAAATAGTTTAGAAAAAAATCAAATCGTACAATTTATATTTCTACGTTGGTTTTACAAAAATTTCAAAGAAGATCCGATTTGCAACCTTTCCTACAGCAAAAAGATCTCCGGGTGCAAAGGGTTGAGCCCCGGAGAATTGAAAAAAAATTTCCGTCAAAATACACAGAAAGGGATGGTCGAAAGGAAGACTCGTGGCGGGAACGTTAAGTCACATGTGTTTATTCCTTGTCATACAACGTTCGAAGTAGACGCAGGACCACGTGCACCATTGTCCACGTGGCACCCGCCAGCACACTGTCATCGCGTAAAGACACTTACTCGTCGGGGATAATAGGATAAGTCGTCGCACACCTAACACGAGAACACGTATACCGATACACATCTATTTAGACTCTCTACGGATAAATATATGCGCGCAAATACATACCGTTAAATGCAGAGCACACGAACGTACGTAGCGAATGAGTTTCACGAACGATGATCGAGATATAATGAGGCGGACTAAACGACGATATTGTGTATGTATGTGTGTGTTTGTATGAGTGTACATGTGATAATCATTCTCTCTTCGTTTTAGTGTATTTTGTTATATGTATGCATGTGTGTGTACGTTTTCTTTAGTGTATACATATATTATCTGTTTATATAGAAATATCTTATTTGTGTATATATAATGTGTATATATATATAACCATTCATATAAAGCTTTATTTATAGAATATATTAAATTCTTTCTTTCTCTCTCTCTCTCTCTCTCTGCTCTCGGTAAAACTGCGTTCATTTGGCATTTTTGTACATACACCAAATTACGATCCCCTAACGCGCCAGGCAACGGTTCTTATCTAACGATTAGAGGCTTCTTTCGCGCGGGTTTGTGCACGGTGAAATACGGTTTCTGTGAGGCTTTGGATAACGAACACTGTGAAATCCAGGGAAATAGAACGAAAAGAGAGAGATAGGATTGTGATTGTAATCACGGAAGAAGATTGGGATTGTGGTTTGGAGAAAAGTCGAATTGATTGCATTAGTGTATTTTGAGTTTTGAAAAATTTGAAATTTGGGAATGTGCTTCCTGCTAGTAGTATCAACACAAAATTATTAAACATCCCGAAGAAAGTCTTTTTGGCTAACCCACGATACCACAAAACCTCCGAAATCGATGGTCTGTTAGGAGCCCAAATATTTTGGGATTTGATAGACACGAACGTTATCAACCTCTCCGAAGGCACGCTGAAATTACAACATACGCAGTTAGGCTGGGTAGTCCGGGGCGAAACATCATCTAAGTTCAATCACACACCCACTGTGTGCAACCTCGCTACTGACTCTCTAAACTCAGATTTAACCAAGTTCTGGGAGTTAGAAGAACGAATTCTGAAAAATATCTTTCAAGGGAGGAAAAACTGTGCGAACAGCACTACGTTGAAACCACGCAACGCGATCAAAACACAGGAAGGTATACAGGGCAACTTAGCGTCGAAGAATTAGAACAGGCGCACAATAGGGTAATTAAAGTAATACAGATAGGACGATTCGGTAAGGAGCGACGACAGGTAGCAACCCAGGTAACCGGGAATTCGTATCGGTGTCAGTTGAGCCCTTTAAACCCATTCGTCGGTTCGAACGGTCTTTAACGTGTAGGTGGTAGGCGGACTCGAGCAGAAATAACCTACGATTAAAAATCACCTGGTTCGTATAGTTGGCAACACACTCCTAACAAATGCAGCCTTTCATACTATTTTAACAGTAATCGAAGCTATCCTAAACTCCCAACCAATTTCACCCTTGTCCTCAGACCCTTCTGACCTCTCAGCCTTGACTTCAGGTCACTTTCTTATTGGTGATTCACTAATCAGCGTACCTGAGAGAGACGTTTCAGCTATTAAGATAGGTCGACTATCACTATGGCAACACACGCAGCAGATTAGACAGCATTTTTGGAAGAGATGGCACAAGGACTATCTCAACTAAATCACGGTCCGTCAGAAATGGCATCACCAAAGTAAGGCACCAGATATCCAAGCAGGAACATTGATCATAATCTAGGAAGACAACTTCCACCCTTACATTGGCCCCTGGGACGAATCATCGAAACGCACCCAGGCGAAGATGGTATTGCGCGCGTCGCCACAATAAAAACGGCAAACGGGATCTATAAGCGTCCTATTAGAAAACTAGCTCCATTGCCAATGGAAATAACCAGTCAATGTAAATAACGTAATATTAAGAAATTTAGTATAATTCACAGTATTCAAAGTAGAAGTTATCGAAACAAAAAAAAAGGGGGAGAAAACACCAAAAAAAATATGTAGACAAGTGTTGAAGTTATATCTAGCACTCAGTTTCAAGCTGATTTTATCAAGTCACTATATATCTTGAATCTCATAATTATACTTACATCTAACCGAAGCAATTCATTTCCGATCTAGCATAATCTAGTATAAGTTATCTCTTATTGTATTGAGACATTAATGTATTAAAAAAAAAACAGGTTTCCCTATTGTGCAGCTGCGGGGCTGTATTTGGCGTATCTATGTGCTCGCATAAAAAAGGATCTGATTCAGGATCAAGCATTCCAAAACTATAAAGGGCAATCAGCAGCAATGTGCACTATGAATGTTGCTACTCTCAACGATCTAGCAAAGGACGTTTGGGAAATATCAAAAGGGATGGTGGTGCGTGTCAGTACCATCACCGACATGTATGCAACTGTCGCTGGAGTAGACAACAAAAATGTTCAAATAATAGATGGTGAAGCTTATCTCATCCCAAAAACAGCATTGACCGTTGCAGACTCGTCGACCGGGGATATGTATCCCCGTCGCTGAGATCCGGACCAGCGGGAGTGCCGAACTCCACGTCGCCACCTAGGGCGCTGGCCCGGGCACCTCGGGCGACGTCGCACTCAAATTTTTTAATTTCCATATTCTGAAAATCACAAATTTTCAAATTCCCATATTGTAAAAGGAATCGAGGGCGCCGTCGAGACGGGCATTCGGGCGGCCAGCTCGGATGTTTATAGTAATCGGAGAAGGCGATATCGGGCCCGAGGACTAAGCCACCACGAACATCGGCGACCAACCCTGGAGGCCCTTGGTGACGCATTTTTGGGAACGGCGGGACAAAGGGGCTTTCCTAGCCGGAAATCCAGTCTTGCTTAGACAGTCGAAGAGTAACGGTTTAGCCAAGCCAACCCACACCTCGCGAATAAAGCTTTTAGCATCAAATACGCGTCTATTCTTTCATTTTCCTTACAATATTTTGAAAATCCCAAATTTTTAAATTCCCATATTTTGAAAGTCCCAAATTTTTAAATTCCCAAATTTTTACATTCTAAAATCTTTGAATTCTCAAATTTTCCAAATCTCAATTTTCTAAAATTTCAAATTTTTTAATTCTAAAATTTTCCGATCTCGAATTCCTCAATTCCCCAATTTTCAAATCCACAAATTTTCCAATTCCCAAATTTTTATAAAACACTAAATTCCTTTCCATTAACAAAAATCACTATATACAACGTATTGAACGACCACCCTATACATTACTTAAATCGAAGCGAGGGTTCCACCATAAAGAGTACAGGTCGGTAACGTCACAATCTACGCACCGATGAGGTTGGCCACGGGTGGAAGCACCGTATGCACTATCTCCCTTAAGGAGGTTTTATGCACATCGATCTTTAAGCCACCAGGAATGTTCAAGCTTGCAGACGTGTTCAGCGAGTCATAAGCAATCAACAAACGCTGCGAGTCAGCGTTTTTTTCCCGCGTCTTCCTGCTTTCATACTCTACACACGTGTGTGAGTACTCTATACACGTTTTTCTTGTAGTTTTTTTTTTCTCCTCTTTTTCTTTTCAGTTTACTATAAACGTGCGTGACACAGTTTAGTAAATTCATTCATTTCTTTAAATTCCTTCGAATCTCTATATCTCCGTAACAAATGATCGTAACGACCTCGAACAAAAACCATTCACTTTGAAATTTCATTCTTTAGAAATTCTCGTGCTTAATTTTTCTATTATGAGCGATGAATAATTTTTTTTTTTTTTTAAGTATTTGTATAATATACAAATCAATCTTATCCTTTCATTTATTTAAAAATTCAACGTTTCTGTTAATCCTTTGCACTCTACTGGCACCATAACTCCATTTAAATTCCGTGTATATTAAAATCGAGCAAATTAACAAAAGAAATAAATACATACAAGTGTTCCTTTTCAAAATTTTTGGTTTCCAAAAATTCCGCTGCAAAAGTGTAATGAAAAATCGTATAAAAAAGTGCTCGGCATGCAAAGGATCAAAGAAACATTCTACCAATTTTGTATTTCACCAGTATAAAAAATTCTACCTTCAAAAATTCGAGCACCTGTTTAAAAATCGTATTTTTAAGCGTATATTGTGAATCGTTGTGTGAATTAATTTTCTATTTTAATATTACACGTACAATAATTTTCGATTGATAAATTAACAAATTAATCGAATCGTTGTTAGATATAGATTTCAAGGACAATTTTTTCCAACAATTTTCACGCGGAAATATTTCCCCAAACCGTACATACATGCTGTATCCTATGTACTCCGTTTCATCGGTTCACGATTGCATAACTTAATCGAAGTTCACGCGAAATCCAATTGGATTGAGGCCTAGATCTGAATCCAGGGGGGAAAATTTCCGCGACACGTGACGAGAGCACAAACCCGCGCGTTAAGCCTCGATCGTGATCGAGAACGTGATCGACGAAGGAATGGGAGACGCGCCATGTGAAAATTCGTACTGGTCCCTATGATTATTCTAAAACATTCACGGCATCGTTCGAAAGAAAACGCTGTTTCTGAAGTCTCTTGAATGTTTATTAACACGTTCGACGTCATGTGAGATGAAGTTTATCTGTAACAAGTGTATTCGAAAGAAACGAATATTTTACGAAGCGAAGGACTGTGGTTTATTTTCTACCAAAATTCTGTTCCTTTTTTATTTATCGATCTGCAAAACTAGTATACTAGAAAATATATTTAAAAATTTGCACAAAAATTAATTTACCAAGTCACGATAATCGATTAATTTGCACAAGAATGGTCTAATGTTTTGTGATAGAGAAAAATATGTGACATTTGAAGAAAAAATTATTTAAATTAGCTGAGATAGAGGAAAATAAAATTGTTTTTTTTTTTTTTGATCATGTGATAAATAAAGCGACTGATTTTTGTTAAATGCAATACTGGTTAGAAACGTTTGATTTCTAAATGGAAAATCATTTCCAAAGTGTAGACGTAGTTCATACACTCTATCGTGTTTGTTATTGTTTAAAAGGATCCACTGAATTCTGCATAAAAATAGAACTTTCAGACGCTGTTAGCTTCGTCCGACTTGGTGCTTTAAATAGCCAAGTAAAACACACAGAAACCGCTTCATCATCTCCCAGAAATCTACGAGTGACCTCCTTCACTTCGATAATACAGTCACTTTACTATTGCAAAATCATACTGCGGAATTATTTTTTCTTCGCTCAAGCGACGTGTTGTTAATAAAAATTCTTATTTACGAAATTCAAACTGAGCTATTACACGATAACGTAAACATCGTTCTTCTTTTTATGCTTAACAATGTTAACAAGGATTCGCACGACTGAAGATACTTTTCGTCAGGATCAAAGATATTCGTTCTAAGCAATGGCAGCGCTCGCGTTCGAGACGATTTCTCGTTGAACCTTTCGTCGATGCTTCTTTTAAACTCTAGAATTCGCATGATCGTGAATATTACCGATGATATTTGTACCTATTAGCCGCGGGAAACGTGTGGGAATCGTCACGTTCCACGGAGCAACGTTCGCCGACTTCGAAATTCGATGGTATGTGCGACCGGAATACGGAAAATTCGACGTGAATCGTGGTAGAACAAAAAATCGAAAAATTTCTCTAAAGAAACGACGTTACTTTATTTAAACACTTTTTCGGTGAAGCCTTGCTGTATTTTAACTCTTCAATTTTCTTCAAAAATAATGTTTCATATATTCCTGTACTTCTTTTCTTTTTTTGGAAAAATTTTTCAGAAGAATTCTACTTTGCATTCTACGCTTCTTTTATCTTGAGAAAAGAATCACGTTTCCCCAGTTAATTCTTCAATTTCCTTCTAAAATAATATTTAATGTATTCCTTTTTTTTTTTTTTTTGGTCAAATTTTTC